AGAAATACAATGTGCCTATTGTTGTCTGAGTGTTACAACAGTGAAAACAAAAAGCATTTCTATGTGTGAAAATTGAATGTCTGTGATTAAAGGTGTTCTGTTACTCAGATGTTTTCAATGCAAAGTAGTTCGTATAGAAAACAATGTTAAAAGTATACTGACATATATTGGCACTGATGTGCTCAAGCTCTGGTTGAGAATATATGGCATGAATTCTACAACTCTTTACCGGCTCCACACACTTCCACCTTCTCTTGCCTTTGGATGGTGTCTCCAGTGTTAGCATACGGTTGGACTCAATAATATGAAGGGTCTTTTCCAACCTAAATGCCTCTATGATATGTTGGTGCATGTGTGTCCTTTAACTCTCTTTTAGCTATGAAATAACAACATGAGAAGTGGTTTAGACAGGAAAAAATCCCTAGATACTTTCTTAATGTTTTATTATTTTTAATTTGTGAAGTTTCTTTGCTTTTAGGTAGCACCTTGCACAAGTGGCTGGTTAGGTACAAGGGATGCATTGCATTTCTAGCTCAAGCCCTGCTGTTACCTCTAGCCAAGACACTTCACCTTACCAGGCTTCCTCCCTCCAGGCTTCTAGGAGAGTGTGAAGTACCATGACAGATGAAATGTTTTGTTGTTTAGCAGTCTGTTCACATTTCATCTCTATGCAGGAAGTGGTGATATAGTTTAATTTGGAGATAGATGTAGAAATCAAGGGGCGATGTTTGTTGCCTCTTTAAAAAGGAGTTTCTGAGCTGGTGAGTTGCTGTTTTATTCTGATGGAAACCAGGTATCTATCAGGAATGGAGCAGTGATAATTTTAAACGATTGTCATGATGAATTTCATACAGTCCCTCCCACTGACAAATGTTTCAGTCTATGGTCTATCAAAAACATTCAAAGAATAATGCAAAGAGTATCTGTTTGTCTTCCCCGATAGATGTAGGTTTGAGGATTTTTGTACACTTGCTAACAGCAAAACCAAAAATTTTAAAATCCCTACTTTTCCAGTAAAACAATTTTCTGAAAAGAGAAGTGAGCTATTTTGGAGACATCGTGAGGACATGGGGTTGCATCTGGAACTGCAGGAGTCTGCATCTGACAGGGAAGGAGTCACTGTGTGAGCTTGTCCTGTCACTCTGGGAGACATTTCTTTATGCAGTCTGTGATATTATGGCTAAGGGAACTGTTTGGGCTTGTCGGGGAAAAAAAATCATCATTACCAAAGTTTGCACTGGGACTTGCTTGGTATCTCTTAATGCTAAAGCAGTTATCTAAGCCACGGTTTTAAAAGTTATAGGGACAAAGTCTGCATTTAAACAATGGCTGTTGGTAGCTCTGAAGTAGCTGCTATTGGCATACTCTGAATAAACAACCCTTTAAAGAATCACTTTCATAATTTACAAAAAACCTCTTGATGTAATTCTGCTCTAGCTAATGATGGCTGGGAACTGGGTTCCCTCAAGGTCTCCATGCTGAGACATTTCCAGATTCTTCCTTTTCTTTTTGGCTAGGACCATGCTGAAAAACACCAGCCTCCTGATGTGAATACAGCAAAGGACTTGCTTGTGGCAGCAGTATAGGCAAGTGCTGCAGAGCCTGAGCTCCCCTGGTGGGGTGTGTATGCGGGGCCAGACTTCTCCATCTCCTCAGTTCATGGGCAGGGTGTGTGCTCTGCCTTCCCAGGGTATGTTGGGCTGCACCTGCACCATGGGCAACCAGTCTCCATGCAATGGCAGAGAGATAGAAAGGGATAGAGATGATGGATGGAGCTGATAGTCCTCTGGGTAACACTTAGGCAAGGCAGGCTGCTGAGACCTTGACTTCAACATCCCTGACTGGGGAAGGCAAGTGCCTGGGTGTGATAGTGCCTACCAGAAGAGCAGAGACCTGTCATGATGCAGATGAATGATGCATTCTGGGGGGAAAAAGAAGCCTAAAGGGGGCTGAGCACGTTGGAGATGGGCTGTGACGTCAAACTGCCTGTAGCATCTACCCAGTGGGGACAATTGCGAGCATCATCTTGGGTTTACTCTCTATGCCAGTTTCTAGATTTTATTGCTTTATTTAAAGCTTGCTCTCATTTTGCTGACAGATGCCCTTGCTGCAGTGTTATTGATTAGCTTATGCAGCCTGAGGGATATTGGTCTGTTGCCATCAAAAAGAGCTAAGTCTGTGTCATGGTCAGGGTTGCCTGTTGCAGAGGTGGTGGGAGATTTAGTGAAAGCCTCTCCAAAGCCTACAGTGGAGCTGGAGAGCTGACACCACCCAGTGATCCAAGGCATGAGAGGTCCAGGGCTGCAAGCAATGCTGTCCAACACATAAAGGTGTGTAAAAGCTGAAGGAGCCTTAAAAGGGAGATAAAAGAACACAGAAATTATTAAAAAGTCCCTTTGAACTACTTAATAGTGTATAGACTATATTGCTTAAGACTAAAGGCAGATAAAAGACATAAGAATTCCTGTTTGAGGTTCTCAGGATGCCTGTGAGTACAAATGTTTGGAGCAAGCCTGTGGTAGAGATGGGCAGCTGGGCTGGATGCCTGCAGATGTGTGAGACTCATGCACCTCCACATCTGCCCTGGACCTGCTGGGCCAGCACAGCCCTGATGTGTCACCGCTTGGCCAAGCAGTCCCTGCCAGCACTGAAATGTGATGAGGGCTTTTTTCGTATTGTTGGTAGAGTCAGTTGGAACATTTCAGACTGTCTTTTGGTGTGTCTGCTTTATTTCTAGCTTGGCATGTATGTCTATACAAATATATAAATCAATGCCAATTTAGATCTTATTGTTCAAAACCCAAACTAGGACAAATCTGACATTATTTTGCCACCAGAAATTAAAATTTGTTGTTTCAAATGCCAGATTAAAACCACTCGTCAGATCAACTTGTAAAAGGAGACTATTTTGATGCCAGAGGCTCAGCCTTTCCTACTAGAGAAGAAGGTGGTTGTGCCATTGACACACTTGATGGAAGGAACGCCATCCAGAACAACTCCAACAGGCTCAAGGAGTGACCCTATGTGAACTTCATGAAGTTCAACAAGGCCAAGTGCAAGGTCTGACACCTGGATCAGGGCAATCCCAAGCACAAGTACAGGCTGGGCAGGGAGCGGATTGAGAGGTCCTGAGGAGTACGACTTGGAGTTTTTGATGGGTGAGAAACTCAACACAACACAGCTCACAGCCCAGAAAGACAACCCTATCCTGGGCTGCATCAAAAGATGTATGGGCAGCAGGTCAAGGGAGGTGATTCTGCCCCTCTATTCTGCTTTTGTGAGACCCCATCTGGAGTTCTGCCAGCTCTGGGATCCCCAGCACAGAAAGGGCATGGATCTGTTGGAGTGAGTCCAGAGGAGGACCATGAAGATGATCAGATATTTAAATTGAAAGAGGGTAGATTTATATTGCTTATAAGGAAGGAATTCTTTACAGTGAGGGTGGTGAGACTCTGTAACAAGTTGCCCAAAGAAGTTGTGGATGCCCCATCCTTGGAAGTGTTCAACGTCAGTTTGGATGGAACTTTGAAAAACCTGATCTAGTGAAATATGTCCCTGCCCATGGCAGGGGATTGAACTAGTTTATCTTTAAAGGTGCCTTCCAACCAAAGCCATTCTATGTTTTTTCCAGAAAATTCAGTCCTATCTATTTACTGGATGCTGTTAAATAGTATCTGTGCTGTCTTCCAAACACTTAAAGACCATTCTCTGTTTGTGGCTTTTCCTGGATGCAAATATGTTTGCACTGGTTGCTTCCACAGGGAGGTTTGTGAGACACACAGGCTGCAGGAGGTGAAAAGTGGAGCTTTTACTTTCCTCTCTCTGTGTCACAATTTAGCACACACGTGTTGTGAGTCCTGGGAACACTGTGGGCCTCCAGGCTAGAGGATCAGCATTTCAAAGCTTTTTCTTTCTTTTTACCCTTCACTGAGCATTATTCAACATGCATTTCCACAGTCCTTTTGCCGTGCTGTTAGCCCAGCAGTCAGCTTCCCCTCCTCACTGAGCTCAGTGGGAGCTCATACAGAAGTTTATTAGTCTGAAAATTAGTCCTGGCAAGACAAAGAGCTGGCAGAGTGCCAGCACAACCACTGTGTCTGAAACGAGTGTGGTCCCTGTCACAAGTCAGCATCAGTTTCTCCACCATACAACCCGAACCAGCTCCTACCTAGCTGAAAGTGGGATCTGTTTTAGCATGGGCAGGCATAGGTGCTGCTCTTAACCAAGCAGGAGCGAGGTCCTGCACCCACCCACTCTTAATGGGGGCAGTTGTAGTGATGCCACAGGTAACCTTGAAAATGGAGGTCGCCAAGCTCACTTCCAAAATGGAAATCAACCAGTGAATCCCTTTGTATTACTTATTTTAAAATGTGGTTTGTATACGTTGGCTGTTTTCACTGCAATGAAAATCATCACATCAAAGTAGAGCTTTTAGCATGGGGAAAGAAGATAGATCTCCAGAGGCCTTGACATTTGGTGAGATGTATGTAGCATTTCAGGACTGTCCTGGATATGTAGTAACCAGACATTTTCATTATAAAGATAATTGCAGTCACTTTTTTTTTTTTTTCCTCTTATATTGCATGGATTCAAGGCAACAGGTGCTTTTATTGTGAATCTGAGGGCTAGAATTTATTAAAAGCTTGGCTTTCAAATAATAAACCTACAATACTGGGTGAATTCCACCGCAAATTATTCCACTTGGCGCTGGGGGTTACCTCACGCCCTTTTCACTCAGTCAACATGCTTGTTGATTTCCATCAGGTTCAAGATGGACAGCACCTTGTGTGACCCAGAGCAATCCCAGGAACTCCTGTCTCCAGTAGCAAATCCCCCCAAACATTCACCAAATGTACACGAGGAGGCTCAGAGCCTCACTGCAAAAAGAAATCATTAACTTGATATTCTTTCCAGTCTTTGACCACTGTTGCTTGGATCCAAATCTCATTCCAGACCAAAGTGGGAAATATCTATCTCCATCACTATCAGCAAAGAAAGTATGTTGCAAAAGCCCCAGAGTAGTTTTTATTTAAAATGTTACTATCATAAAATTCCAAACTATGAAATTAAGACCTTGAATTCCCGTTCAAACCTTACCCACCCCCCTTTTCAAAATATATATAGATACGTAGCCACAGAACATAAAACATGCTGCAATGATACAAATATATTTTTGATACAGAAATTACAGTACATTATAAACCATGAAAACAAATTGAGGCACTAGACTGAACATCAGCTCTGTTCTGCACTGGCTGTGAAGCTGATAGACTCACTTTCAATGAACAAAAGAATATTTGCTTTGTTTAGTAAACAAAACTTTATGGGTCATATCAAACGATGTGCTTTGTTGTGAGACATCACCAGGGTTGCTGGTCCTTTCAGAACCACAACACACCTACACAACATGTATCACTGCCACAATATGAAAAATAATAATTTTATTGAATGTACAACTCAAAAAAAAACCCCAAACCCCATCAGTTACTAAATAAATAATTATTCCATACAGTGGTTAGTTTATATTACACTGCATTGGCTATCAGAACAAATGAAGTTTAATAAATAATGCACGGGAATGTCTCATTTACGCCTCCGTTCGTAATTCTGTGCTATGCTTCCTTCAGAGGACCCTGCAAAAAAATGAAGCAGAATGAAGCACATGGTACAGCCTTCTGTAAACCCCAGCAAGCATAAGAAATATCAGAGACCTGCAGCCAGCTGGGTTGCTGCAGGACCCCAGCGGTGCATTTGGAACAGAGACGAGGGCTCCCTGCCCAACCCTGAGCTGCTTTTGCCTCAGACTACACTGTTCTCCAGAAGGCTGAAGGTCTGAGCAGTGTTTTCTACCTTTTGTTTGTAGAGCTTCTTGATGCACCATTAACTTTACCTCCGAGTAATCCATCCCAGCTGACAGGATCTGAGTATTAAGGTCAACTTGTGGGTAGAGGCTTTCTGTGTAGATATGTCCACCTTCTGTCCAGCACAGTCAGCTCTTTGCCAGGTTTAAACCCTCCCTATCCCCAAGCCCTGCACACAGGGATAACTCTTACTGGAGACTGCAGCAGGAGCCAAGCAAACCTCAGACTACCCCGTGGACTAACTGCAGCCTAAAATAATATTCAGTAACATTTTGTGTTTAATAGTGGTAGATCTCTCCTTGTTACCCTTTTAAAATGAGAGGGAAACCCAGAGACACCTGTTCCCAAACCAGGGACAGAGACATACTGTCACATGAGGCTTTAAATCAGGACCATGCTCACACCCAGTGGGATGGTGTAAACTCCTGAACATTGCCAGGGTGCTCAGGGTCTTTCAGCAGAAAAAAAACACAGTACCAAATAAAGATTGTGCCCAGTTAGATATCTTTGAGTAGCGAGAAGGACAGTCATAATGCTTACTACTCCTGATCTTGTTTTGCTGCATAGTCCTTAGGATGTGTCTTCTCTGGAGGAGCAGAAGCAATTTCTTACCATTTCCCTTCCAGGGAGTTACACAGAAAAGCAGTGAAGTCTAGTTTTACCTGTCAGGCAGGTATTACATAGCCCAACAGGGTAAAGCTTCATTATTCCTCTTTGCTGGAAAAACTACATAACAGTATCTTGACTATACCAGCAATTTTGAAATTAGGGCAATAAAATCTTTGCATTTTTTTAAACATTTGCTGTATTTTACATTCTTAGATAAATGCAAATGTAATCCCAATGGAAACCAAACCCAATTTATTACTTCCAGGCTATTTACTTTTGTGATAGCAGATATATTTACAGGTATTATGCATTTAATAGCTATTGCCACCACAGATAAAATTGTACAAAATTATTCATGATACACAGCAATTTGCAAAATGATGCAGAGCAATATTACTAGTCTTGAACAGGGTTTAATTGAAAATAAAAGTTCCTGACAACCATAATTACAGAATATAGATCACAGCATGTATTCACATAATATAAAGGTGTCAGCTAGTAATTTAACTTTTATCATCCATTGAACAAAACAGAACATTTCAGAGACATGAAATAAGTATTAGGTTTTTTATTTTTTAAATTCCCATTCTGGAGAATCAATTGATACTTTATGGTTCACAGTGAGGGATTTCCTCAGTACAGCCCTACAGCACAGGGAGCTATGGGCAGTCTGCAGTTACCCACAGGGGTTCTGCTCATGAGTGGGGAGAAGGATTCTGCCCTATATGGATGCTATGGGAAAATAACACAAATTCACAGTATCCCTTCAAAGCTTAATATGCTTTAGTTGGAGTTAGAAGCTGGAAGAAGCTGGGAATGTTTAACACCTTGAGCTGCAGAATGAGGTGGTGCTAATGGCAGATCTCTGATCTCCCACCTTCTGCTCCAAGTATTAGGAAAAATAATATCCAGAGACAATGAAGATAACCTTTTACCTGATGAGATCTGGATTTAGACCACAAGTTTAAATGAGCTTTACATTTTCAGCCTCTGAATTTTTCTTGGTATGTCTGTAAAATTTAGGGGTTTTGTGGTTTGTTTTTTTTTCTATTAGCACTTTGGGGACAGGCAGAACATGCAAGGACGGGTCACTAAAGAAAGTGCTTCACAGACTTCTACCTGAGCTTGCCTGCAGCTCAGACCAGCCTGGTCACCTCAAGCATTGAAACGAAGTCAACCGTCATTGTGGGTAACAAAGAAAGTCCTGATTCTTTTTCAGAGAATTCTGAGTCTACACTACATAAAGACTGCTTCTTCCATCCGCTGGGAGAGAACAAAGAGGCAACGGAATGAAGAGGCTGTATATCACTGAGTACCAGATTTAGTCACATACATACCAGAATTTAGAGATCTTTTGCCCATAAGTCCAACAAAGGAGTCTGTTTTATGCCCTGAAAAAATATATTTAGGGGTGTTTTAATACATTTTAACTAGGCAGGCTTTTAAGATAATGTGTTCTTGCAAGGAAGGAAGACAGGCTCCAAAACTGTTTATCTCACAGACTAGTTGATCACACAACTCTCAGACAATGGAGAACAAATGAACACCAGTCTGACTAATCAGACCAAACAGGTTAGACCAAGGCACAGGCCAGTTAGTGGACATGTTCTCATTAGGTTAGATAAGACTTCTTGGTTTATGGCTTTTGTGGAATTTTTTAAGTATAATGAAAAAACAATGGCCACTAACAGATTAATATTTGTCTCCCAGTACAATTCCTGTTGATTTGAGCAAATGCACAATAAGGCAGTGTCTTGGTATAGCCTGCAACTGTGTGATGCATCTCTTCTACCTGTTGTTGTTTTATTTCTGTAACATGGAAGAAAAGCCTTCCTCACAGTTCAGGCGGAGCCCTTTACTGGAGAGGAAGCCAATGGGACTATGTCTGGACACGTCTGAGCTAGACAGTCTGGCTCTATTTTTGGAATATTTATGAGTTTGGGTATTACCTTCCTGTCCCATTAGTACTTCAAGGCACTGGATGTGTAGAGGATAAATTAGTCCAAGTTTTGGTCTCTAGTACATATCAAGATATAGTGGTAGCTATAGTTTCAAATAAGGAATGAAAAGGAGACATTCTTCTTTATCTAAACTGAGTTTTGAGGCAAACAATGAAATTTCCCTTTGGAAAGAATTTTGCTTGGTTAATTCATCGACAAAGTAAGATCCTCAGACCACACATGTATTAATTCAAGCTGAAGCAATTTCAGGAAATTGTAATTTTTTACTTTAGTTAGCAGGCTATTTGCATGAACTTTTTTCAAACTCTTTAGTTGATCTTCCAGTACATAACCCTAGTGAAAACACCTTGTGGGTATCAGAACACTGAGACAGACCTCTGTGGACAGAGGAGGTCCTAGAGAAGAGAAGATCATTTTTACTTGTTAAAAGCCTTCTAGTTTCTATTTAAGACATCTTCAGATAAATTTAGAGAATAAAAATATCATGGTGCAGATCAAGGTAACACCACACTGCTGATGCAGATCAAGGTAACACCACACTGCTGCTACATCTCCTGCTTGGTGCTACACAGAACCAGAGCAAGGCACACTTATTCACTTATTAATGGGGCAAGATATGCTTGTTCATGTGGCAGCACATCATCAATCAGCCCCTACTGTGAGCAGGGGTTTGATTCCCAGACAGACAATGCTGAGAGCACAGATATAATACCTCATATGTGAGGACATGGGCACTCCCATTCTTGGGGATTTGGGAATTAGCTATTCTAATTTTCCAGATTTTTGCCATCTTAATTGCTCCTCTCAGAGTCTGGCAGTAAGCCTGCCTTGCCTACGAGAAAGGCTTACAGAATCACCCCCTGGGGAAATAAGAGAGAGCTGCAACATCCACACATTAAAATGGATTGAAATTTCAAAGCTTGCGGAGGCTCAGATGAGGTACAGGCTCACAGTGGCACTGGGGTGGAGGTTTCAATCCTTTAAAAGAACATTTTTCCACCAGCTGTGCTGCCAGTCCTTAGCTGAAACCAGTCACCTCCTAACTAATCCAGTCAAATATACTATTCCTTATTTGAATATCTTCTAATAATTACTAAAAATATTTGCATTTTTAACTTACTTTTGTGAGAGATCTGGCCATATCCTGATGGGAAAAGGAAAGGAAAGATTAAAAAAAAGGGGGGAAAAAAGAGTTGTTGAAAAAGTATTGGCATATACATATGACACTACTGCAATGCTTTGAAGAATCAAATACAAAAACTACCCTATGCATATTCCACTTAAGGGAAATTAAGGTGATCGTTTACAACTGCATTTCTCTTTGAAGAGACTGCAAAAAAATTGTTTTAGCTAAACCCACACAATTTGGATCAATTTAGCTCCAATTTCTTAGATCCATTCTTGGATCAGTAAACATGTAGAAAACACAGCAATAATTGTATACACAACCGATTTCCACACTTGGACAATTCAGTGGCATTCAGTACACAGACCCGTGAATTATCACCATCTTCCTCCCCGGGATTTACGTGCTGTAACTGGTGTGCACTTGGCACTTTACCGTGAAGCCCTCTCCTTTCCAACCGGTGAGTTTATCTGATATAAAACTTGAAAAGTCAACCCAATAAAAACACCGCCGAATGGAACAACCCACAAGGCAGCTTTCGAGAAACACTAAACCCGAGCAACACCAGATGCAAAGTTTGGAGAGCCACTGGGAGAAGAGTGTGGCGGAGAGGCGTGCGCGGCAGCCAGCCCCCCGCCCCGCTCACCGGCATCCCGCTTGCCCATCAGGCCGAAGAACTGCTGGGGCCGGGGTCTCCGGGCCATCCTCTGCAGAAAGTGCTCCAGGGGCAGCGGCAGCTCCTCCTGCGGGCGACAGCGAGCGGCTCTCAGCGCG